CCCTTCAGCTAGCTACATAACTAAAGCTAACCCCATTAACAGTGACCATTTTGCTGAACCCACTTGGCTTTAGTTGTGGGAAAGCGCAGCACTGCTATTAAAGGCTGAAATGATGAGCCAACCAGACAAGATGAAGGGAAAAGGGCAGAACACTGTATTACTAATTCTGTCTGTACTGATGTGATGTCAACATTTATATACAATGCATACCAGTAAAGCAACATTTTTCAATAGCTGCAGCTCTACATATAAGTAACACAAATCACCGACGGCTGGATTCTAATAGTTTGACTTAAGTGGTTACCACTTAAATCGGCAAGTAGTTCCATTGATTTCAAGGGAATATTTGCCGGATAAGATGCTATTAAATGTAATAGTATCAAGATATGCTCTTTAATGCCTGACAAAATATGCCGTTGATTGTCCCATCTGCATTTTCATATGGTTTGCAAGTTTACTTGAAAAGCATAGCTTCCAACAGGCTGTTTATAACATAGCTCTAACTAAACACATTATAAAAACCATTGACCAGCTTTGAGGGCAACAGTAGTAGAAAACTACCCAGGTTGAGGGGGGTAGGAGATTAAATGTTTCCTGAAAGTGCAGCTTTGGGCAAAATTTCCAAAGAAAATATTTTTACAGATGGGTAATTTTTTTTTTAAACCACAGCTGCGCTTGGACGCCACATTCCCTGTCCTAAATGCTCTGAGATTCTGTTCCTCACCAACACCGAGGAGCAGCATGTAGCTGCATTTTCTGGGGAGAAGTAGCAAAGTTTAAGAGGATGCTCTTTTAGGGAGTTGTGTGGTAACCGCATGTGGGGGAAGATCTGAAGAAACTACATCTCCTCTCCTTTGCAAGACGGTGGGCTGACAAGGTATAATATTTTGCTGAAATACTCCAGCCCGGCCCAGGTACAGGACTGAGGAGAGAGGGAAACACCTCTCAAGCTCTCTCCTCTGATCAAAGACTTGAGCAATAAACAGTGCATTGACTGACTCCTGACACACCTGGGCTAGGTGAATTGTCAAAGGTTTTCTGTAGATTTTTTTAAATCTCTTCAGCTACTGTCATTATCCTTTTTCTTCTTAACATGTTGCACATTGCTGTTAACATGTTATGCCCTGAGTATGTGTTGAGCAATAGTCTATGTCTAGATATTAGGTTATGGCCAGCCTTTACCTATGGCATTTCAGAAAAATAATTCCAAAGCTTAGTAATAAACAATATGACTCATTGGCTGGTCATTTGGTTTTTTGAGGGACTCAAAATTTCTACCACCTTTGGAGAGAGTTGGCTTCATAAGTTTTTGGCCCAGTTATAGTTGGGTGGCAACCAGATGCTGTCATCTAGGGTTACTAAACTTTGGAAAAGGGATTTCAAAAGCAGAGTTTAGGCTTGATTCCAACCTTTTTTTTTTTTTTTAGTTAATTTGCTAGAACAATCTTCATAACCATACCTTACAATCCTTCAGCTGAACTTTTCCATATTGGTTTGGGTACTTCAGCAATGACTAATTACAATAAAATCTGTTGTACTGCGGTTGCTAGTGCAAGATGTGGTAGCAGTAGGTTATACTTTAAGGAATCAGGAAGGTGTTTATGTGCAGTACAAATTATTTTTCAGCCATCTATAAAAGATCATATGAGCGATCACTCACAGAAGTTGCTAGAGCAAACTGATAGCTGGAGAACTCCTGGAAGATGGGACCTCCTGACATCCTGCACCATTGACATCATTCCAGGGCGCTTCTCTGCCAGCGAGCCAGTCCTGGGCCTCTTGCTTCTTGTGTGCCTATGTTGGTATTTTTCTTTAGAGAAGTTCTCTTTGCAAACTTAGCTTCAAGCTACAGAATATGGAAGTTACCATGCTAAATACTCCTTTCCTAATGCTCTAGTACAGTGGCCAGAAATCTTCCAGAGCTATGGGCTGGAACAAGCCAGCTGAGATATTCCAACTCAGCCACCACTGCTGCAACGTCTTTCAGCTGCTGCTTCTCCCCACCCTCAAGTGCATTGTGGGCAGTGGGCACAGCTCTTCACCAGCCAGTCCTAGCACAGGTGTAGGCCATGCCCCCACTGACAACATGCCATCAAAACCCCCTGGCTGGATCCCGTGGGCTGGATCCAGTGGCTTTACAGCAGTGGTCTCCAACCTTTTGAAGTAGGAGATTACCTTTGGCATTTAAAAGCAACCCAAGATCTACCATGCGCCACTGCCACCACCCCCTTCCCTGGCCCAGCAGGTAAGTCTGTGGGTAGGGAAATGGGAGGGCAGATCAAGGCAGAGGGAGAAAAAATGATTTGGGGGTGCACCTCCAGTAAGTCCCACCTGGCTGGGGTCCCACTCAACTTACCTCTGCTCCTGCCTCTGTGGCACTGTCCCTCACCATGGGGGCCTTGGTCTAGCCCCTGCCCCTTCCCTCCCACATGGACCTGCTGGGCTGGGGCATGTGCATGTAGGCACTCAGCGCCCCACCCCAGCCTCAAATTGACTCCAAGAGGCTCTAAGATCTACTGGTGGATCGACATCCACCGGTTGGTGACCACTGCTTTACAGGCTGCATCCAGTCTGTGGGCCATATGTTGCCAAATCCTGCCCTAGGATATTCTTAAGGTTTGTCTGTACAAGGAGTTATTCCAGCTATCTTGTTTCTAGTGAGCAACAGAAAAGTAGATTATACTTATTTGGAATACAGCACTCATTCTGGAATAAGTGTGTCCACACAGGGATTTTACCAGGATTACTTTTTTTTTTTTCAATTTACACCCTATCTTAATTCAAATGTGCTTCCATGGATAGAAAAACCCTAAGCAAAATAAAGCAATTACTGCCAATTCAGAATCTATGGCGTTACTTTTACAAAGAGCATGCCTGCTTCATGATACTGTAGTGAAAGCAAGATGTTTCCTCAGGGGTCATAAGCAATAGAGCATATGTTGTTTCCTAGTCCTGTGCAATGCTTTCTCTATGCTCTTCAGTCAGCAACTGCTTTCTCTCTGCTGCAGCCAGGTACAGTCAAATGTGTATTGTGCTATTACTTCTGCTGCAGTCCTGCTGCAGGGACTGTGCACAGCTAATACGCAAAATCCAGCTTCCCTGAACTGCTCCTTCCCCCATGACAATATTAAGAAAAAGACTTGAATGCCTGACTATTTTCAACACATCATTGAAAGAAAATGCAAAAAGAAAAGAGGCTCAATGTAATGTCTTGGTCAAGATAGTATTGGAGATTTTGCTGTATAATTAAACAATGGAACCAGGCATAAGGTCAAGGTGAACTTCCAATATAATAAATAACCTGTTTGTGAAAGTGGCTGTTCCAGATCATTAAGAAAAGCCAAGAGTTAAGCAAGCAATCTGTCTCTGTGGTAATTTCAATACGATATATGCCATCGCATGCTTTATGAAATGAATTACACTGCTTTCTGGGAAAGGCTCATTTTACTAATAGTAAAATGGCATCACACACCCAGTAGAGTTTCGTTAGGATGAAAGCATATTGCAGCATTAATGAAGCATGAGTTCAGCCTAATTAACAGGCTGGAAACAGCAATCATACAGCCATTTCATTTACTCTTACACATTTCGTCAGGGTAGTAGAGTTACATTACACATGGTTGGGATTCTCCAGCTTTGCTGTCTGTTTGTGTACAAACTGCTAATTCATCTGCATTCATATATGTCTCCATCCAGTAAAATGCTGAGAACATACGTAACTTTAACCCTGGGAACTGTCCCATTAGCACCACCAAGTCTCTTCACATGCTTATCATTCAAAACATGTGAACTGACTTGCTAGGTTGTGGCCAGGGGTTTCTAAAATGAGCAACAGTCATAGAAACAGGCAAAAATCTGGTGCACTTAACTAACCCATTTGCCTTTTAAGGACAGAAAAACCGTTTTCATTATGCATTTTTCAATTTACCTGACAGACAAGGGAAGATTTCTTCCCTACAGCTGCTCCTTTTGATTCGTGTAATGCCTTGAAGCGCTAGATAACGCAAACTTGGATGAGTTCTTTGTGCAGGAGGTGTGTGATGCCTGGTTAGAAAATATACAAATTTCACTAGTTTTGATACATTTCACAATATTTTTCATTGAAGTGCCCAAAATAACCATGCAGAGGAGAAGCTCTGGATACACGTCAACCTGGCCATATTCCAGCTAGGCTAATTGCGTGCTGTCTATCTGAAGCCCCTGTAGTTTCAAACAGAGACATTTTTCTTCACTTCCCTTCCTAAAATGATGGAGTATCACACTGCTGCAAAGAACTGTGGCTCAGGGACAGCTGCATTTCAAGGGGGGACAGAAGAGTCTCTTCTGGCTCAGGCCCCAAGAAATATTATGCTCTTTCAATTTTCCTCCGATTATGCAGGAAAAGTTCATCACCTATCAGGATTTGGCCTGGATTGTATGAAGACCTATAGGATACTTCAGATGAGCAGTGCTGTGCAAACCCAAATTATTGATTATTCTTCTACACAATCTGGGATGGGATGGGATGGGATGGGAAGGTATAGGGAGGCAAGTTCATGAACCAACAATATTTTGAAAAAATATATTTGCTTCTGGGTACATTTGAAATTGAAAAAAGATATCGGTCAAGAGGAGGCAAATTCACCCCTTCACTATTTTCCAAGGGGTACCGTTACACCAAGAATGCATTTCTCCCAAAGGGTCTGTCCTCTCTTCACATAAACCTTGTGCTACATTTGTCATGATGTAACTTCCAAACAACATGAAAAGAGGCAAAAAAGACAAATGCTCAAAAGCCCTTTGTATGACTAGAATCACTGAGAATATGTAACAAATTGCCGTATTTCACTCTCTTCTGAAGTATCTTTCAAGAACGTTATCGTCTGCTTACATATTTCACAAAAAAAAAAATGTACTGTCACAGTACCAGTTCCTTGAGGAGTCCAGTTTGTTTAGTCCGGCTGTAGCTCAAGGCTAAGTGACAGGAAGAATAGATACTGGATATTGCTAGGGAAGTTTGGAGAGACTTAAGTTTAAACCAGGGAGGAAGATGACTTGAGGAATTAGTAATGAGACAGAAAGTCTTTGTCTCTTGGGTCAGTGCTGGAGGAACCCTTCCTGGGCTGGTAGGAACTGAAATTCTGAGGTCAAATGAGAGTAAAGCAGCTTTGCACACAGGATTGCTGTGGGCATTCGGTACATCGAATCTTCAATAACCTTTTTCCCTCACCCCAGTGAAGCATCTGCTACCTCAGCCTGATGGCAGCATTTCCTGTATTCTCCTTTTTCAGGGGTCAGTGGGCTGCTTTGGTCAGTGGATCCAAGTAATAATCATCCAGCATCTGCTCACAGCCTGCCCCGTCTACGATACGCCCCTCTTTTCAATTCACCTGCAGAGTGGCATGGATTTGGATACTGTCAAGAAGGACATCTCCAGAACATGCAGGGGAGGCAGAGTCCCTCTACGTGGCTTGTCTCTCAGTGGGATTTTCTTGCACTATTTCTGCTGCCTTTGAGGTTTTCCATGGCTCTTCTGAAGGTTGAACTTGGTTTCCATGTCTCTTGGGGAAATTCTATGACATGAAAGAAGTTAGTGACCTCAGGTCTGTTCCAGGCAGACATATTACCCATGTGCTAACAACCCCCGTGGAGTCAATGCCCTTGTTCCAAGTCTTAAGAGAGAGGCCAGACACCCAACTGGGGGAACACTGGATTAACTGGACTGTTTATTTCTACAAGGCTTGGTGCAGAAGTTTTTGACGTGAAGGTGACACATGATGGTAGACTGATATCAACAACTTTGCCCTGCCACTGCATGGACTGCACCTATTTTGGGTGACAAAACACAGGCTTGAGTTTTCAAGACTGGTCATTTAGATAGTAAGCTTCGTTTTCGTTAGTATGCTTCTTCTAAGAATGGATATTTGAAATGCAATGTCTTGTGTTTCCTGCCTTTCACTCACTGTTGTAAAATGCTAAACACAGATTACTTGTACACACAGTGAAGTGGTTGTTCTCTACTGCCTTACTTGCTTCTGAACTGGATGAAAATGAAGTTCATAGTCCTTGGACTCCTTTTAGAGTACAGCAGGTACACCTGCACTGCAATTATAATGGAAGACTATTGAAATTATTAATCAATTTAAGGAGTCAAAAACCTAAGTGGGATACTCACCCCACAGATGGCTGGTTTGAAATATTCAGTCTATTTGTGTTTTTCAGAAAAAGGGCCTGACAATCACCTACCAGGTACAGGATAAAAACCAAGCTCAAAAAATTCCTCTTTGAGGAAAGTTTTCCTTGGCCTTCACTGACACAAATGAATCTTCATTTGTAGGTATTTTTCCCCTTGAATGGCCAGGAAGCTTATTGAGTAAGGGAGACAGCTGATCCAAAACTGAGACAGACATTTTCAATTACTGTGGAAAATTGAAAAAACTGGTGTAGTACCAGAATATACTAAAATATGCCAAAATCAAGGCATTTTTCAAAAGCAAGTCATGCCATTTTGCTGAACCAAGGCAAATATTCAGGAAGAAAGACCCACTGACAAATGAAAACCTTTGACTAGAAAATATCTGCATGAGCATGAGACACAGATGGATGATCTCAAATAAAACAGCTTTATTATCTGAGGGGACCTTGTACTATCAGCAACCATCTTGCTGTTATTCTATAGTTAAATGCCAAGTACTGTACATGGTTGCTTATGAATCACTGGCACTGTATTTCCCCCTACTCTCCCCCCAGTCTTGCTATACTTACTGGTATACATCACATACATTAACACATCGAAGTGCTGAATGGATTTTCATGTAAAGGCAAAAATCATTCCACTCACATTCTCCAAGGGTTCCCACTCCACAGACATTTGGACTTACAGTGCACTGACCTTTTCACAGTGTTATCATAAAATCAAAGACAATTATAGCTGCCCTCCTCCAGCACCCAGCTCCCCGCATAAAATTTACAAATCTATCAGTGAGGAAACACCAACTGTGTGTAGTGCAATAAAACTTATATTAGAAGAAAAGATCAGGAAGTAACACAGTGACCTCATTACCACTTTCAAATGATAGAGTGATCCCACCAAAAATGTTCATTTTGTATTTTGATTTAACTGACATTAGCAAGTTCCCTCTAATAATTGGGGAAGTTAAACACAGCCAAATTATTTCACTCAAAAGCACTGAAATATTATTTCACTCAAAAGCATTAATTATTGAATTAATATCATCAGTGGAGTTACTCTATCTACTCCACTGATGCTATTAATTCAATAATGAAACAGAGAGCAACAAGAATACGATTCTAATGTAAAGCATCATGAGTCTCACTGCTTGCACTGAGAGTTAAGTGTATATATCTGAGGACAGCATTTAGTAAAGAGCATTCGAAGAGGAACTATCTAGGAGTCTGAATCAATTGCCTTTGAGGTCAATAGGACTTCTATTGTCCTTAAAGGAACCTGGATCTGGGCCCAGTCTCTTCACTACTCCATAGTACTGGGTTCAACTGTCAAGCAAGAAATGCTGGTGGGTGGAATCCCTGCTCTACTAAACTCAGTGGAAATTTTGCCATTAACTTCAGTGAGACAAGAATTGTGCTTATGTTTGAATGTGAGGCAGGGGAAGTTTAAAATGCACTCATATGATAAGCCTGGGGACATCTTCCCGAGTCCAAAGGTTTTTATCCTTAACATAAAGACCCCAGGTACTTTTTAGCAAGAGATGGGAGGGAATGAAAAAGAAGAGACATAAGAACAAAAGAATCATTGGAAAAGATTGCTAAATTAAATGCAGAAAAAAACCTAAGCTCTTGTTTCACTTTACCATCTCAAATCCTAGACATGCAAAAGAACGTGCTGTACAGCTCACCCAGACCAAGTGAAGACAGCCGTTCATTGATTCCTCATATGTCTCAGGCAATAACTCTGTTGTGAGCCACATAAACTTAGAGACTGAAGCTGGGCATGTTACTAGCTGAGGATATAGTTATATATACTCATCTCCATCCCTTCATATAAGCTAACAAAAGCCTTGTACCTAGAATATCTACAAGAAGGCAAATCTTCCACAGCTTTAAATCAGCACATATTTACTGAAGTCAGTAGAACAGTACCAGTTTTCATCAGCCTGAGGATGGGGCTGGTCTAGTTTTTTGGGTGTTTTTATGGGGTTTTTTGGTTTGGAGTTTTGGTTGTGGAGATTGCTGGGATTTCTAAATAGAAACAAACAACACAGACAGAAATAGGCTAATACCATCCTTTTCTGTTGGTGAGGGGATGGGGTTAAGTGCTCCCAATGCCACTACCATCAAATATGAGGCCAGGGAGAGAGGAAGAAGCAAGAAGCAATTAAAAAAAGATGCTTTTTTCACTGGTTTCACAGTCTTTGCTCTTTTGTTATTTTTCTACTCCATGTAAGTTTTAAAGTTTTTTTGGTATCCTCACCAGGAAAGGAACTGAGGGGAAAATATTATTGCTCCCAAACAGCTAGAAAAATACTCAGAATGGAAGCCAATTACAGCAAAAGATTATAATTGTCAGTATAGAGATATTTGCATATTCACAAGATTGTAATTGAGGAATGACACTATCACAATTTTGCAAATCCTTACACTTTGATTGGTTAAGAATGGTTGTGTAACAATCAAAGTACAGAGATCTGCATATGGCATAGGTATAGAAAAATAACCTTAGAATGATTAGACCGTGTTGGCAACTGCAATCAGTGAAGCACATTGCTGGGAAAAACAGCATAGTATTTCATCAGCAACTAGCTGCATGGCATCCCTGTACTCGGAGGGGCTGGGGCAAGTCCATTTCAGCACAGTATTAGAGATATTTGAGCTCTCAGTGCTCTTCTGGGGCCATGGTGAGTTAGCTGGTAAAATTATTGCTTATAGGAGGAAAAGGCCATGGAGGTCTATCAACAACAACAATATCCTTTTACCCATTGCCAGAAAGCATCAAATGGCTTTACTTGGCCTTTTTAACCCATTTTCACCGTCTGATCAGCAGAAGTGAACTCTAGTTAAGTGCACTCAGTAAAACAGATCGTTCCTTTTTGTATTTGTAAATTCCTGCTTCAAGGTCAACAAAGGTTACAGGGATAAATCAAAATGATGGGCGTCTTTTTACTTCCTCACCTCCCAAGAAACTCAAGAGTATATAACATTCATTCATCAATGCCTTCAAGGGTAAAACTCTCAAGTATATTAAAGATGAGCTCCATTCTACAACAAGCAGCTGACCCTTACTGGCACTTCTTTGACAATGAGCAGCCACTCCATTTACCTTGGCTCACCAGACCCATAATGATGTCTAGCTCACATCAGAGGGTAAATACAATTCTAAACATATGGGAGAGAATTTGTAATGAACTGGGCCATACGTTATTGCCCTGATTAGCTGTATGTTACCCAGCAGCTGTCTGGGTAGTAAAAAACCCCCAGGAGTGCAGTATTCTGGAGACTTCCTTGTTAACTGGTCCAAGAATTTCTCATCTCCTCCATGCCCTGATCCTGGTGGCCCACAGCAGATGCTGTCTTATCTGTCTCAGTATTTATACTATGCTCCTCACCCTGGGATCTAAGCTGCAAAGAGATTGAGCACTGCACTTCCTCCTTTGTTTTTCTCTTTTTTTATCTACCTCCCAAAATATTTTCCTGGTACTTTGATTTTTATTGCTGCTGAAACACTTATGACAACCACAGCCAAATTCACCCCAGCAGTTATGCTTCAGATGAATGAGGAATTCAGCCCACTGATGTTGCTATGATTGTGTATTATTCAGTTTATAGTAGCAGCTACACCTCTCAGATGAGATGTGGGTCCTGTTGTGTGAAGCACTGCAGAAGTATGCTCCTGCCCCACAGAGCTCACAGTCCAAACAGGCAGATGGTGAAATAAGTGGCAGGGAGCCGAGGTCCATTGAGATTAAGTGATTTGCCCAAAATTGCACCGGAAGTCTATGGCAGATCAGTTATGAACTCAACACAAAGTTATCTTTCTACCCACTTCTCTTTAGCTCGCCCATCACAATGACTTACTTTTATCAACTAGTGTTTTCTAGGATAAGTAATAAAAATGTTATTAGCACTGATACAGTTCCTGCTCCTGCAAAACAAGAAAGGGTAGATATTTCAACACCCAGGATGTCCCTTTATACTGCGTTCCTTACCCATGGAGCTGCTTCTGTGGAGGCTGCTACGACTTACTGCACTGCTGAGCTATGTTATCAACTAACCAAACTGTCCACTGTGGAGCTCAGCTTGTTTAACTGTAATTGTATAGTTTGTATAGCACAGGGGTGGGCAAAATGCGGCCCACAGGCCAAATACAGCCTGCCAGGCCATTCAATCCAACCCCCAGGGCCCCTAAAAAATTTAGAAAATTAATATTTATCCGCCCCTGGCTGCCTGTCATGTGGCCCTCGATGGCTTGCCAAAACTCAGTAAGTGGCCCTCTGCCCGAAATAATTGCCCACCCCTGGTATAGCATAATTGAACTGAATAGATAGACACTCACCTGCCATGTAGTTCTGTTACATTTCAGTTTTTTGACACTTCCTATGTTTTTCTTTGAGTCCCAAGTGATCAGAGTTTATTTGTAGCTGCAATGTTATTGCAAGTTTCATATCTGTTATGCCCCTTGGAATATTGTACATGAACATATGAGCCTTGAGTTACCTCCTGCTATCAAAGAAAGCCTTTCAGGAGAGGGAAAACATTGCAAGATATCTTCTGAATTCCTCTCACTGCTTTGGAAAATATTCCATACAATCTTATCTCTCTTCCAACTGCAGAAAAGCAAAACTGCTTAATTTATGACAAGTCTGAACCATAGATCCACTCACTATTTGAAGTGCCAGATCTGTGGGTCCTTCTGATTTATAAAACTGGTTGCAAGTATTAATTAAACTTCCAGAATGAGGTGACTTTGTTTCTTTGCACAGCTCAGCCTAAATGCAATAACTGTAGAACTAACTGCAGTTAATTAAGCACTGATAAAATAGCTATTCTTCAGCTGCTTCAAAATGTTATGTCTTATCCTCTACTACTCACATAATATTTACACTTACTGCAGCTCTCCATGGATCACCAGCAAGTGCCCCAGAGACCACAGTTTAAGAATGGTTATTTTAACCTAGTATATTCTAAAGGAGCATCTGCTTTTGAATCTGTAAGTGAAATGGCATGGAAAGAAATTGAAATCCATATACGAACCAGCGCTAGGATCAGTAATTTAGGGGACTGATTTATGTTAAAAGTTCTTTTTTAGCAGGCACCTTCAATGAAACACCATTTCAAGGAAGTGTTAGAAGCTGAAGGAACACTGAGCCCTGCTTTACAGAGCAATCATTTACCACACTGGAACCTCACCATAATATTAACTTTGCAAGACTACCGGCCAAACTGAATTAATGCATGCACACACATTTTCAGCACAGCAATAAATTTTAGTAATGCAATTTTACAAGCCTCTTAAAAGGTAACCATCTCAAAAAAATTAGGAACAGGAAAGGCTGATTAAAGTTCAACAGCACTAATTCATTACAAGGCAGGGAAAGGAAATATATGGCTCAGATTGCTGCTTTAGTGCTCTTCCCCCACTATTATTTAGGTGAAAACACTCACCAGAACAAAGATTTGTTTTATCACAGCAAGTATGTCAGTGCTGTAGGAAGACAGATCAGAAAGTCCTTCAATACAAGCAGAAATTTGTCTGTCACTAAAATAGAATTTACAGCAAACCTTTTCTATGGAGCCTGGACCTCCTATTGTTCCCAGATCTATGCAGAATAATTGGCATTTCGCCAGTGCCACTCATGGGTTTGCTTGCCTTATGATTGGCATTTTCCATTTTTTTCACTCACACAATGAACAGAAAGTAATATCTGCTGTTGCTGTGAATGAGAGAGGAAGTCCCACTCAGCACAGAGGGACAAAATGGAAACCAGGTACCACTGTGATGCTCAAAAGAGGGCTGGAGATATGCTTCCACTGCATGCAGTTTTATCACAAGTCAAGTGGTATCTGGCGTTTTGCTACATGCTGGAATATTTTTTCTTACCTGAGATTCTCACTTCTATTTAAAAGGAAAAAAAATTCTGGCTGTCCTTAGCTCTGGAAAAAAGCTTGGAAAGGCCCTTCTCCCTCCCCAAAAATCCCAACTCTGAAGGCAAGAAGAATTTCAAATTCATTTTTAGTGGCTTGAATTTTTGAGGCCTGGCTTATACTTTTTTTGAATGGTTGGAATCGGCAACAGTCCTTGAGATACATAGCAGGCTCTGTACCTGTGGTGAATTTTCACTCCAGGCCAAAGTAGGATCACTTACAGCTTATTTCAAGGCAGAATTTTCCCTATATTTTCATTGTAGAAAACTCTGTTCATTTATGGGAATCGCAGGATTTCACCCTTGGCCAAATACCCAAAGACCAAATTGGTGCTTCTGAAACAGGTTGAGGTCTGCCCACAAACCTGCAGTCCCTGTGGCGTTCAACAGAGGTCAACACCATCCGCACAAGGGCTCTTTGTCTCCACACTGCTCACCACTGCCTCCCCTGCTCCTCAACAATAATCTTTTCTCCAGGAAACTCTAACGTGCCGTTGAAGCAGTTTCCAACATGTGTAAGGAGGTGTGAAAATGAAACAGAGTCCAATACTGCACAAATCATAGGCAAGCCTGAGTCAGTAGAAGAACGAGGAGCATTTCCCATCCCCTCCCAATGACTTTCCCCCTCCCTGCCCGGGTACCTGGAGCTCTCTGTCCCAGCCTGGAGGGGAAGAGGCAGCCCTTGCAGCAGAGACGTGGAGATCCATGCAGGGCTGGGTCTCCGTTGTGAGTGGATCTTGGGAGAAAAACTGATAAAATAAAAATCAGAAATCTGAGGCAAACTGACATGTGAAAGTGGGGCTGTTTTGAATGGCTCCCATTAGACTTCATGCAAACAGAAGTAGAGCTACTCAAAGGCAAAATACAAGCTGGTCTCTAATGCGGAGATTTTTCAAAGCCCAGAGGTTTGGAAGCCCCAGTTCTCATTAATTTAGTATTAAAAAAATTCAGCCTTGATCTATAAAAGGGCATAAAACTCAAGCTTTTTGGGGTCATTTTGCTCCGACTTTTGACTTGTGTTGCTGTGACTCACACGGCAAACAGGCAACCTTTGGATCCAGCAACTCTCACCCCCAAAACATGTAGGACTTACCTGCTGAGTGATTGCAACTCTGACTTGCATTAAGCCAATTTAGTTCTTCTCTTTCTTTTTGCTCCTGTTACTAGGCAGACCAAAAGAGCAGCTCTGGCAGGCTTACCCAACAGCCTACCATGAGATCTAGGAGTCCACAGTGCCAAAAGTCATTCAAAGTAAGCAAAGTGGTTTTCCAGTTAACACTCCAGCCATAGTTTAAGATTTAATTTTCCATCCTGTAAGAACAACAAAAAGAAAATGAGTTGAAAGCAATTGTTCTTTCTTCATAATAACTCCCCGAGATGCTAATCTCACTCTGCAATACACACTGATGGGATGGACTTGACTTTAAACAGAAACACATGGTAGAAATTCAATGGGCTATGGGCTAAATTCTGTCCTTTGATGTGTGAAGTCAATGGGATGGAGTCACAGAAGCATGTCGGGATTTGACTCTAAGATCCACTCTTGCTTGTGACACTTGTGTGTGTCATGACGGGACAGTCAGCAACGATCTATCTGAAACAAAGAGCTCAATGCCGAGAACTATTCCTGCAAAGAAATGCAAAATACGCGGCATCAGGTCCTTGGCACAGATGCATTATCCTGACTAAGCACATCCCCCGTACATCGTGAGAATCAGTGGAAATACTCCGAAGTCATTACTGAAACCTGACAATTGCTACAGCTGCCATAGTTGTGAAGCCTCTCCCTGAATGGGGGGGCGGTTTAAATCAGGGAATCAATTTAGCCCTACTCCCATGCTCTACTCATGCAGTGCTGCTAATTCTTGCAGGTTCATCACAGGTCTTGCTCACACACCTAGTTTCATATGAATCTGCTGGAAGCTGAGCTCCTATTTTCCTTATGGTAAGTTTTAGGCTTTATAGTTGCAGAGAAAAACCTACAGCGTGTTTTAGGGTCCATCTTAAAATTTCAAAAAACCCAAATCAAGCTCCTAAGTACCTTTCAAATGACTCATGATTTTTAAGCTAATCATTTCTGAGATCTGGCTCATGATTTTTGAACACTTGAGGTTAGCAATAGTGCATATTGCTCAATGCAGGACATGCACAGTTAACCATGGGGGGGACTCTGGACCTGACTCTCATGTTCAGCCCTCTGCCCCATGACTGGGCCAGGTCTTCTGCTCTATAGACTGTGGGCAGGCATTGGAAGCAAAGTGTGAGATTTGCCAAATAATTTGCTGCAGAATAATGCAATTCATTTCTGCTACTCTGGAGTGGCATATTTAGGGCCTGATCCTTCTAGATGAAAAGAACCGCATGCATGGTACTATACAGCCTCCTCTATCTGACTTGCATGGAAGGGGAGGTGCTCAGCATTTGTAGGATTAGGCCTTTTAATCACTGTAAAGGTAGAAATAAATACACGCCCATAGAAGAGAAATCTCCATCCAACACTGGGTTTACAAGATGATGCTTTTTCCTTTTAGTTGTAATGGATCTTTCTGTAGACCCGACTGTTATAAGGCCTAGGTTATTTGGAAATAAGGCTTCAAAAGGGGCTTTTTCTATTAAGAATATGAGACCAATAATTTGTGTTTTTGTTTTAATTTCACATTTATTGGGTTTTCTTTTAAATTCCTCCCCATAATCTCTGATCCTGATTATCACTGTAGTTCAGCTCTTTGTCTCTGCAGAACTAGGTCATCTTAAACTTCTAGGTCTTATTATCTAGTCAGAAGCAGTCAATTAAATCCACATAGAGATCCTAAGCCAATTGATTGCCTGCTGATATGTGAGCACTTATTGATGGTTATCTATAGGGCATAATTCCAGCAGACAATGCCCCACATGAATCTACATGGGTAAGAGATACCAAAATATTAATTATGACTGTTAAAATTGCTGATGATCTGGCATAACTCGCTCATGAAATAATCTATAAAATTAAATATTATGCTTAGAATCAGGGATCTGATCTCCCAGAAACCCAGGGAATTCAATTCCAATTAGGGGTTTTTTTTAAATTCATTTTTCATTGTCCTCAGCCATCTTATTTCACATGTGAGAAATCCATTAAAAATCCTGCCAAAAACTAGATAGACTGCGTAGTTATTTAACACAGAGACATACACACCACAGAAGTATCTTGATGTTCCTGGAGAAAAGGAGAAAGTATGGAGCAATAACTTGTTATTAACATATTCCATTAAAACTTGAGACACTTGTAATGTTCAAGTTTATTTGGCGTTATATTACTGAAATGAAACAAAAGGCAATGTTGTACAATAGCTTTATAAAAGAAAATAATTGTTACATGTTACATTAACCAAATGCCCCATTAAAAAAAAAAAAAAAAAATGAAATCCTTAAAAACTCACTCAGGGCAGCTGGTGCTCTTCTTACTCGCATGAGTAATCCAGCTGGCTTCAGCAGGCATCTTCTGCCATAGTAAGGTGAGTGGGATTTGCCCCAAAATGTAATTTTCCTTTCTGTTTCTTACAGTTCCATTTGATCATGTATATACCAAATTTCTTTATAAGGCATAAATACGAAAACCAGTTCAATATGCTCATCATTATTTTAATTGAGTAATACTGTCTAGTACACTTTTTCAATCACATCAAGGATTACAATGTACCTATAGCTTTAATTTTTTTTATACAAAAGTCTATCATATAGTATACAGTATATACTAGTTTGGTAACTGGTTCACAAGATTGACCACGATATTCTTGCAAGTTAGTATTGTCAAAATTTCACCTAGTGTATATACTCTATGTAAAACTGTAGGGATCTGCCTTCCAGGAATTGCTGTATTCAGAGTCACAGGCCAGGTCAAACCTGCCAGGGCTCAATTGCATGATGTTAGCTATTTTAGGACAACAGCTTTTAGCCAGATTTAAAACACGGCTAGCAAATGCCAAGGACATGCTTTGAAATTTTTTTAAATGAAGCTATGGGCTTCCTAGCTCTAATAGCTGGCCTAGAAAAAATGGGGATGGAGGGCATCGTAGTGGCAAGGATTACCAAAGGCAAGGAGAACCAGTCTGCTCCCACACAACCCCAGGAGTCACTCCCTGATTCACAGCAGTGTCAGAACAGGCCTGCTGGCCCTGGGACTTGAGGCCCCAATTCAGCAATGCCTGGTTAACACTAGCCTCAGTGTAAGCATGTGACTGAGGCCAGGAAGACCAATCACATTGCCCAAGTGCGTGATGTTCCTAAACCCTCTGCTGATTCAGGTCCTGAGTGCATATTCAAATAGGGGGCAAATGTGCTCCCCCTGTGCCAGCCCAAGATCAGTAGGGTGGAGCCATGATCCGCTCCATCACACACCATCCCATGGGGCTAGCACTGCCTATTAGGACTCATTTCGCTCTTGCACTTACATCATGATTCAGGCAGCCTCTGCATCAGCATGAAGGAGTCAAAGGGGTTCCCACAACTCTTCCTCATTCCTTTTTTCACACCAGTGCAACAGCAGCAAAAACCCTGCCTCTGATCAAGAACATTTCTTGTTTGTCAGATATCCACGTGTGTATTTAAAAGAGGTTCTAAACAAAGAAGTATGTGACCAAAAAGGCAGCAGTGATTTCAACAGATGCATCCGAGTCTTGATGGAAAAGGGTCAGATGCTCTTGACAGAATAAGTCCTTTTATAGAAGGCTGCATATCCCCCAGGATACACATACGTTCACCATGTGCCTGATTCTGGACCCATTGCAAACAATGGAAATTTTGCCATGAGGCTAGACACTTCTTCATGCAGTGAAACAAGGCCATTGTGCTGTCACAAAGTGTCTACTGCTTGGTATCAGAAAAATTAGAGCTATGTCCAGTGAAAGCCAAAAGGTTTCTGATATCACCTGGGATCAGGCAGAGATTTCCACATATACATCTCAAAAGTCCCTAGTCCACCGGTTGAAAAAAATGCAGCCCTCTGTTACCACTTTGTCTCCCTTACATGGCATCTCGGAGCAAGAAGAAAGCTTAATATTCAAAACAGGCCCAAGTGACAGATTTTGGATCAGGATCCAGCTTCCTGTAAGAGTCAGGGTTGTGAAGGGCTTCCTTTCCACATGATATCCACAGGCGTGACTTCTGACACATGCAATGAACTGGAGTGGGGAAAAGTATTGTTCTTGATCTTGGTTTTCCCTGAAAGATCAGTGGTAGATGATGTCTCCTATCGGTTGATGTCCCTGACCTGTACCTAAAGCAGTGTGTGGACAATGCAGAAAAAGCTGCAGCCAGAGAAGGAACTGTGCAAATATAAAATAGTAGCACACGCTCCTTCTCCCCCACCCCATTTCCTCCCTTATTTCATTTACCAAGGGGGAAAGGTGCGAGCACAGCACACTTGCCTTATACCCCTCCCCTGCCATCCCCAGCACCACTTGCAGCGCCATCGCAGGGTCACTTGAGAACAGCCTCTGAAAAGAAATTAAATTATCCTACTTAACAAGCTTCTCTCCAAAAAGTTTCTTTTTTATTAAGGGAAGAGCAAGGCCATATTATTTCCTGAAAAGAGCTAATGAAACTACCATTTAGCTCTACTTGACATCAGAGAAATATTGCCTCGGTGCCTGCTTTCTTCAGGCATGGTAAAGAGGTTGTTTCTGCCAGAATTTAACTTTCCCCTCAACTTACAGGCCAGGTTGAGGTGAAAGCACTTCTGACAGGACTTAATGTCCAAGTGGGCTGCTTGATGTGCAGTACAGTCATCATGTTACTCCTTAAGTGTATTAACACTAGTAGTCTGCTGCAGAAAGCCTTGCATTAATAACAAGTTTCCACTTGTGCTGAAAAACTGTGCCCTTAATATAAGTGCTCAGTAGCCACCGACACCTGCTATTTGGTAAGCACTCAAAACTGTATAGAAGGCTTGTTGAAAATAAGCTACATAAATTATCCATTGTGTTATGAGTTATGTTATGGATTTGAAATATCAAAATTAAGCAGTTCTATTCATCAACATGCTAAAAGGCACAAAGACTTGTGACAAAATCATAACTGTTCAGATTACATTTGCAAGAACCAAACAACAGAGCAATGGGTGTTCACTTGGGTTTGCCAGTTCAGTTGGCTGGCAGAAGGGACTTCACAATGTTTTCGCTGTCTGAGGAGGTAAAGAATACGCTTTTGGCACGGAGCGTTTGCCAGCTCTTAGCAAATGTTATTCTAACGTAAGCAACTGAAACCCCTTTTGATTGCTTTCAAATATAATCTTTTTGGTCTGCAGCACATGGCACTTCACC